ATATTGTTATCGTGAATCATTTAAATCTATAATTCCTCGAGAGAGGTAGGAACAATTTTTCCGAGAATTTATTTCAAGCGAAGGACATTTTAAGAAATTCTTTTCATCTTCACAAAATTTCAGTATTGCAGCTTCGTTTGTCTTCATTAAGGTTATAACATTATAACATAATGTTTCAGTGTAAATGAATTGTTATTTAAATTTCACTTCAATGTAGTTTTGATCATCTTTCGAAATTTGACTCGAGGTGAAACAATTTCAGTTATCTCTTATACTTAAATCACAATCATTGCAACTTAGATTACTTTTGCACCATGTGTTTCAGAATCTGAACATTGACCAATCTAAGTCTTAACATACTGATTGTACAAGTTACCATTCATGTATAACCCGGTTCGTCATGTTAAACTGGCGACTGCTACATTGTCAGCGTTACTTCTCTACATAATGTGTTATCAGAAAGGCGGAAAACTGTCAGTCATAAACATTACTTTCAATGGCATTTGTCGAGTTCTATGCTGGACAATGGATAGATCATAAAAAGAAATTTAGAATTAAAAACTTCACAGACCAGTACAATAACTATCTCGAAAGATCAAATTATACAAGACACTAGTTGTCTTACCACTATTTGTATTTTGTAGATGTCCCAAGAGACATTACACAAAAACAACATAGTGTTTGTATGAAAAATCACATAATGCAAACTACATGTACTTGATAAAGGAAAACAACACGACCTCAGAGTTTCTTTTAATTTTCCTTCACTAGGGGCGATGTGAATCAGGTATGGATTTATGTTTAAAGGTGCAGGATGAGTTCCAAGAATGTATGAATGTTATGTGCTACTGTCATTGGGGGAATTTTGTATTCGTGGTATTTTGAACGACCATATACTAACATTTTGTTAGTTTGGGGTTTTTGTCGAGCCTGCGACTTTTGTCGCAGAAAGCTCGACATCGGGATAGTGATCCGGCGGCGGCGGCGGCGGCGGCGGCGGCGTTAGCTAACTTCTTAAAAGCTTTATATTTTAGAAGGTGGAAGATCTGGATGCTTCATACTTTGTATATGGATGCCTCATGTTACGAAGTTTCCGTCAGTTACATGTCCAATGTCCTTGACCTCATTTTCATGGTTCAGTGATTACTTGAAAAAAAAGTTCAGATTTTTTGTAATGTTAAATTCTCTCTTATTATAAGTAATAGGATAACTTTATTTGGTATGTGCGTACCTTGCAAGGTCTTCATGCCCGTCAGACAGTTTTCAGTTGACCTCGACCTCATTTCATGGATCAGTGAACAAGGTTAAGTTTTGGTGGTCAAGTCCATATCTCAGATACTATAAGCAATAGGTCTAGTATATTCGGTGTATGGAAGGACTGTAACGTGTACATGTCCAACTGGCAGGTGTCATCTGACCTTGACCTCATTTTCATGGTTCAGTGGTTATAGTTAAGTTTTTGTGTTTTGGTCTGTTTTTCTTATACTGTATGCAATAGGTCTACTATATTTGGTGTATGGAATGACTGTAAGGTGTACATATCTAGCTGGCAGGTGTCATCTGACCTTGACCTCATTTTCATGGTTCAGTGGTCAATGTTAAGTTTTTGAGTTTTGGTCTTTTTTTCTAATACTATATGCAATAGTTCAACTATATTTGGTGTATGGAAATATTTTATGATCTATATGTCAGTCACACAGGTTTTATTTGACCTTGACCTCATTTTCAAGGTTCAGTGGTTATAGTTAAGTTTTTGTGTTTTGGTCTGTTTTTCTTATACTGTATGCAATAGGTCTACTATATTTGGTGTATGGAATGATTGTAAGGTGTACATGTCTAGCTGGCAGGTGTCATCTGACCTTGACCTCATTTTCATGGTTCAGTGGTTATAGTTAAGTTTTTGTGTTTTGGTCTGTTTTTCTTATACTGTATGCAATAGGTCTACTATATTTGGTGTATGGAATGATTGTAAGGTGTACATGTCTAGCTGGCAGGTGTCATCTGACCTTGACCTCATTTTCATGGTTCAGTGGTCAAAGTTAAGTTTTTGAGTTTTGGTCTTTTTTTCTTATACTGTATGCAATAGTTCAACTATATTTGGTGTATGGAAATATTTTATGATCTATATGTCAGTCACGCAGGTTTAATTTGACCTTGACCTCATTTTCAAGGTTCATTGCTCAGTGTTAAGTTTTGTGTTTTGGTTTGTTTTTTTTAAACTATAAGCAATAGGTCAACTATATTTGTTGTATGGAAGAATTGTTAGCTGTACATGCCTGCCTAGCATGGTTCATCTGACCTTGACCTCATTTTCATGGTTCATTGGTCAATGTTTAGTCTACTTGGTTAATGTTAAGTTTATGTGACAGTTGTAATAAAGCTTTATATTTAGGACTATCAACATAATATCAATGATTAGTAAAGAAGGCGAGACATTTCAGCATGTGCATTCTTGTTTTTATTTGTCTTACGTGGTTACTGTCTCATTTTTATACCCCATATCTCACTCTAATCATATTTAAGTATAGTCTTTTGATATAAGTACATCGCTCTTCTCGTCTTTTTGAACGTTTTGTAGAGTCCAAAAACACGTCTGTTATTGATACAGATTCTGCTTAGTACAGATTGGTTGCAATAATTATTGACATTTCTAACCTCAGGATATGAAAGTCCGTAACAAGTAAATTAAAAGATGATGAAAAATGTAGTTTCTTTCGAAATAGAATTTGCTAATCTGACAGGGTTTGGATGCTATCAATATTAGTAATATTTTCAACTACAACGCTGTACAGGGATTAAACCTCATTACTAGTACTTAAAATATAAAACATCACCCGTCATTTGATATATATACCTACACCAATTGCATCCACGATTTTTTGCACAAGTTAGTATGGAACACCTCTAATCTGAAGGATTTAAAATCCAAACATCCCGATGCCATTGTTCATCATCCCATTAAAAATATAGTCCCGCTGGTTATGTTTTGCATCGTAATCAATAATGTTAGAATGTTTTTAGTCAAAGGCCTAAAATATTGAATTCCCTAGCCCATTTACATAAATAAGAATTAACACCAGTTTACTTATTGGTTCAGTTGACTATGCAAGAAATTGAGTGCGCGACCCAGATGCGCCTAAACTGGACACTTTTGTCTAAAAAGATCAAAGCTATTATGTTATACATCCAGAAGCGCATTAGAAAACTATGTAAAACCTTGAACACACGGATTTCTAACCCATATAGGAAGCCCGAGGTTGTGGATGCTTTATTCACTATTCACGACAAATATGTCGTTGTTCAAACAGACAAAGCTTAAAAAATATTGTTTTTATTTGCAAAAATCATTATTTGCAATCACTAACTAAAGAACTTGGAATTATATTACTATCCCCAATGCTTAATTAAAAGATCTACCACATCATCCCATTAAAGAGAGCTTTTCCTACCAAATTGGAATAATAGATACAAATTCCCAGTTTTAGGTCAAGAAAATATTACTTTGTGAAGACCACACTGATTAAGACAACAAATACACCGAAGATGATATCATAAAAATGATTGACAAACATATTTGTTGCGTTTGATGGATAATTATTTCAACAATTCAATATTCCAATTGGTACTTATTGTATTCACCTACTGACCAACTATAGATTGTCTTTGTACTCATGTGAAACAGCATTCATATAGAAAATCTTAAAGAGAAAAAGAAAAAGCATCCTGCAATGTTCTATAATTTCAATTTCTTATATATTGCCGATGTCTTGTCACAGAGTCACACAAATTTCGTTCAGTACTTGCATCTCTTATATTCCTGAATTGGTACAAACATTTCCTTATGTAGAAAATAGTGGATTAAACCTGGTTTTATAGCTAGCTAAAACTCTCACTTGTATGACAGTCGCATGGAATTCGAATGCTCTTTATTAAATAAAACTATGATGAGCAAATTAAAATACAAAAGTTTCTTATAGTTTGCACCTACTTTCAAACTCTACAATCGAGATGTATTATATTCTGATTGATCTCTCCAAAACGTCTCCAAATAACACAAACATGAAGATAAAACATGAGACACTATTAATGGGATCATGACTATTGACAGGTACATGTCATGAATATGTGGCGGTGTTAAATTAGTTTATTGAGATCTAAAGCCAATCGGTGACATCAGCAATATTAAATAGCAATCATGTTAACAACATGCTGTTCAATGTATTTATACAATTTACAAAATTTGAAGAAACTATCATGTTTTCTATTCAGAAATCGAATAGTTTCCGAATTTATTTGTTTTTGCTTAGCCTTTGAAATACGGTATTATCATACCAAAATTACAGCAAAGGAAAATGTTACAGTTTTTACTTAGTTACAGTTTTTGATTGACTAATAAATTATGGTATTATTGACTATGCGTATAAAGTCATCAAAGATATTATGATTATAATTTAAGAACACTAAACGCGATTTTCATTCTTAATGAAAAAAATGTTGTGCCAAATCTGGCTTAGGGATCTCTGCCTGGGGTAGAAAAACCTTACTGTTTTAACATTTTATTGACAGTTAATTTGCAGAAAATGACCTCACTAATAATGGTTCATGTCTGGTGGTCCCTTGTTAATGAAACGTTATTCCTTGTATCATTGTAATTCCTAGAAACTCTTACACCTTTTCGAAGTGGCCCTTGCAAAGAATGTGGTCAATTCAAGGCAATAGGAAACCAAAACGTTATTATTGAATAAGAACGGTATCTACGTTTTCCATACAACCAATCTGAAGAAGGCTTACTTCCTCCTCTAAGACCACCAACTTGCCAGTTTGTTTGCCTATTTGATTCATGCAGTATATGCAGCTCTATCAAATACGGTAAATATTGCAGTTTTTTCCCCAGAATTTCAGACATTTGAATTTTTTACTATTCTTTTAGATGCATAGTATACAATAGCAATGGAATATTTCTAAATGAAAACATTATATTTGTCTTATTTTTACAACAGGATACGAGATGGGACAGAAGATATTTTGTGTTATCTGACCGAGAATTCCAATTTTTCATATCAGAAACTGTAAGTCAGCCTTGATATGATATATCTAAATCTAATTGTGAAATAAATAACAATGTTTGTGCACATTTGTTGGAACAGAATTAAAAATATTACATGTGTTTCATATTGAATGTTTTACATTTTTATTTGCTGATACCAACATACTCTAAGACTCTCAATTTCCTATTTGGTTCATTTCCCTTTTCTTGCTTTTTGATAAGAAGGTGATATCTTTTGAAGGTATAAGTAAAAAGGAAATTATGGGGCTTTTAACTTTCCCTTGAAATTACATTCCTTTGGTATAATAAGGGTTCTACATTACATTCAGAAACCACAAATTATACAACTAGTCCTTGCTAATCGTTAAACGCTTCCTTTCGGTGTTTTATCGACTAAACTACACCAAACAAAGAGCTAGAAATAACGAACGCTGCATTAAATATCTTTTTTAAAGTAATTACATCTACCTACACACTTGAATTCATTGACTTTATATTTGTCCTGACATTTTAATATATGCTTTAAACAGTCTCAATAGCGCAGTTTTCTAAGCGGACAGAAACAAAGATGCATTTCTCCTTTTCATCTAAAGCTATCCTTAAATAATGTATAACGTCATTTGGTGATGAATTTATTTCATGAATTATAAGGTTGAATTTTCAGTGAAATATTAAGAAACCTGAAAAGAAGCTTCTTAATGATCAAAAGGGATCACCTGCATGCAGCAAAATTTTAGTTTTTTTTTTTTTGTTAAACTTCACTGAATTTTACAAAACTTAACAGAAACTTCTTCGTGATCGAGAGATAGCATCTGAACAAAAAATCGACATATTAATACTTTTTACATTTTATTGAGAGATGTATTTACTTATTAAAAGCCTATTTAAGATTGTACGCAGTCAGCATTACACTTTTACACTGACAGCAGCAGTCGCATATGTGACACAAAGTTCCATGGAACCCTTTACTTTTTTTCTTCATTAAAAAATACAGATGTATATACAGGGAAAGTAAAAGCGAGACAAATGAAATGTAATTTCTTTTATTTATGTTGTGTAAACTTTTAACATATAGGCAACTACTCCACAAAGAACGGTTCCAATTGAAGATGTGAAAGGTGTAGCTAATTATAATGGGTAAGAATATTTCTTTACTTGCAATATGTTAAACTAATAATGAATTATCGTATACTATCAGTACCATCATAATATTTTCAGTAAACTTATTATATAGTCATGGTATATGTTCAAACTAATAAACTAATGACACAGGGCCTTTATGTAATTTTGAAAGTATAATGCAAATGATGAAATTAAAATGGCAACACTTTAGCATGTAAACTATTGTAAAACATTCAATACCATTGACTTAAGGGGTTCCTTTTCAGCTGAGACAAATTTTAACATGTAAACTATGCAATAGTTTCAAAGTCGATGAACCATGATGAGGCGGTATGTTCATAAAATCGCCATGGCATTGAGACTTGCAAATGCTAATACATCTGCATACCAAATACCATTGACCTACCACTGGTGATTACCCTTAAACTAAACTAATCATAAACTTATACTAGGCAAAGTTTCAATGTCAATAGGCCATGACGGAAGGGGTGTGGCCAAATTATCTTCATGGAAATGAGATAAGCCAATAAAAATACATCTGCATACTAAATATCGTTGACCTACCTCTAGTGGTTCCCCTTACACTGATCTAATCACAAGCTACACATGTATAAACAAGGCAAAAGATTAAAGGCCAATACACCATGACTAAGGGGACGAGGCCAAATATTCTGCATTGAAATGAGATGTGCCAATGCTAATACAACTGCATACCAAACACTATTGACCTACAACTAGTGGTTCCCCATAAACTGACCTAATCACAAACTAATACATTGTTTACGGCGCCGGCGGGAACGCATGCCTAAGTCTCGCTTTTTCGACTTCGTCGAGGCGAGACAAAAACTATGACAAACGTGATGATTTCAACTTTTCAATTGACAACTTCAAATTGCTTTCAGCGGTAAACATACCCTCTGCTCCATCGTATGTCATTTACATATATCAACTAATACTTTTCGTTCGTGCATGTTTATATCATACAGATTTTGCTCCTTACAGTGAACATGCTGCAACAGAGTTATGAGGACAATTATGACAACTGAAATCGTAACAATATAAGTTTTACGGTCACCATTACAAATTGGTTGATCGATACAATATTTCTAAACTTACTTGCGACATGTTTTCGCAATCTTAGATCAATAGACACCAGAATAGTCTTATCTTTAATTTTACAGACTGTGTCTAGTTTCCGGTTGTGACATTTTGACCAAATGTGGATTTGCATGTATGCATAATGCATGTAATGGGAGGCACGTCCCCAGTCGACACATCCGGTCTCGCTGGTTTTTCATGTTTTAGGAGTTTTCCCTAAAGATTTGTTTGCTTCCTTGATTTGTCTTCTCTACGGATTTTGTAAGGTTTGAATATAGGTAAACAACTGTTGCCTATAAATATATTTGTGTTTCATGAGTCCTCTTTCGGTACCTTTTTAGTGTAGATAAGTACAAGGGAAAAGTTATTTGATGTACAAAGCTAATTAAAGCCATTTGTGTTTCCATTGATAATGTTTCTATTATTCAGATTTAAAATACTTGTGGAGTGACAAATCAAGAAAAAGTCGCTTATTTTAAGAGTTTAATGGACCGACATACCTCACGGCTGAAAATCCACATGATGATAAAGTCAACATTATACTATCCTTTTAGCCCTGTCGTAGAGTTTTCACACGGTGCAGTTTTTTGTAAAATATCGGTAAAACATGATTTTCCGATTTTTTTCTTTTTCATTAGCAAACACGGGAACGTTTATAATTAATTCCTGAATGAAGATATCAGCAATACTTGTTATAAAACGAAAGAGTAATGTATCAACTTTCATTTCATATCAAACTTGAATATCATATGAAAATACATATGGAGTGAATTTGAAGAATTTCAATTGCATGCAACATTTTTTCAATCTTACCGTCTGTCAAAGTATATTAAATTTCTTACATACATCTCCCGTAGTCGATTTTGACATAAAATAGTGGAACAAGCAATACTTAAGAAGTTTTGATATATCAAAGTTTGACAGAACATACAAATCAACTTTTACAGGCCTTTTTATAATACTCATCATATAGCAGTTTTACTATTCAATATTCATCTCAATAAGTCATGACGCGCTCCTTTTTTCTATTTTCCCCTAACTTATAAATTGCTGTGTTTTTTGTAATGAATTAAATGTGCACTTTTTTAATTTTTGTCAATAAGAATATAGATTTGTATCAATGTTTGTGTCTAGATGTTTGACTTGGTACAGATGTTAAGGTTTAATAACGGTTGAGGTGTTTTTATTCTTGTTGAGTTTTTTTCGAATAGACTTATTTTAAACTACTTTGGAACGCATCCGAATTAATCCGGGAAATGATTGGTAGTGCTGATTCCTTTAAATAAAAACAAATACATATAAAGAAGCATAGGTCGTGTTATAAAGCCGAAACATGTACAAGAAGAATAAATTTTGATACATTGGGAAAAACCAATGCCCAACAGCGTGTGATGATGAATCAACTTACGTTAAATCACGCTCCGTGGCAATACCATTAGACTGGTCCAAATGTTTATTTTGCATACAATGAGATAAGCAATTAAGGCATGTCGAGTCATTTGAGCGTGACGATTATGTTTTAAATGACACAAATTACCAGTCTGACTATCCAGTGACAAGTTTACTCTCTATATAGATGACTCCAAGGACAGGGCGCTGCATCATTCAACATGCATCGTTAACTACTTGCTGAAATGAATGATTGAACTTGCTTTTGATACTTCAAATCGGTCGAAGCATGATGTTGCTTTCCAAAAAAAAACAGAAAGTCTACACGATGATCTGTTTGTGAAAAAAATCATTTTCGTTGTCGTATAATTTGCTAGATGCTAGTACATATTGTTCATTGCTTCCTGCAGACCCTTCATGATGCAGAAAAATTGTGAAAAGCAGTTTACGATCGTTCGATCGAAATTTCAAATTATTACTATCCATCTCTGTCAAAATAAAGTATTCCTACAGCTTTACAATTTATTCCTACCTCTCTGATAAACATTTTTGCCAGGTTAGTAGATGACTATTATTTTCATATGGAGAATGATTACAATGCACTCTCGTGTGATACTGTACTGAAATGCATATCTTTAGCTAAGTGTGTGATATCCCTGCATTAAAAATAAGTGCACCTCTGATCAGAGATGGTATGGGTATTGTAAAAAGTCTTTATGTAAAAAAGTATAACAGTTTTGAAAATTTGGCCAAGGACGCCTTTAAAACACTAATAGTTTGTTTTGAAAACTTTTGGGGTGTCGTGAACATGTTTGATTGATATGATTTGAAACAATCTACAAAATCAGCAGAATTAATAAGGAGGTATATTTCAAATGGTTGTAGAATTAATGTTCTTTGGGCCATTGAAGGCAGATCAATTAGGGATTGTAAGAAATTGCTTTGTGCACCCGAAAATAAACAGGAGTTGATAAGATTTGTCGGCGATTGTGCACTCCCGCACTACAATGATTTTGATTTGCAAGACCATGACGAAATATTGCAAGCGGGATCGTGTCAAAATCTATAGACAGTGCAGCAATGTTGTGCCGGATCTGTAAGTGACTGTAATCAATTGTATACAAAGGAAGAGACAGATATAAGAATTATTCTGCCACATCTGTTTGCTTATAATGAACAGATGGTAAAAAGTAATTAGAGGGGTCGCATTCCATTAAAATTACCAGACACTTATGTTTTACTTCTTTGTATAAGGATTTTCCTCAGATGTCAAACATGATGAATTGTATTTTCAGACTGGATGCGTTGCTTCAACCAAAGACGCAAAAACGGTTTTTACCTGTTCACGCCATTTGCAAAGTTATTTGACCAATGCTGTCTGGCTCAGCTACTCACGCTCTTACAGGATGCGACACGTCTTCTTTAATCGGAAGTGGCAAAAAGACAGTTATAAGGCGTCGAAACAAAACCCAAACATGTATCAAAGTTTGTCAATCTAGCTGGTTCTAATATTGACACATCTGTTGCAGTGAAAAGTCAATTCATTGTGGATCTTTATGACCCTGAAGCAATTTTCAATCAGTACATGGTGATCGCAATAAACTCAAGAGTGAAGTTGGCGCTTTCTAATGATGCCTCCTAAGTGAGATTAACTCATTCAGAGGCACCATTCAGACAGACAGCGTATTCTTCGAGTTTTACTCTAAGATCACGTCTGAATGAATGCTTATATCGCCAAACCACCACCTAGACCACCTTTGGAATATGGATATGGGGAATAGATCCATTGTTTCAGTATATCTTGAATCCAATGTCCTCTGACTTTACAGGACCTTGTTTGTACATGTAGAGGCAAAACTATTTGTAGAAAATCTTGCGTATGCTACGAACAGAGTTTTCCGTGCACTAGCTTTTTTTGTTGTTAGAGTAGTAGTGATTATTAATCTCGATGCCCAATATATCATGATTTTGCTGCTAGTGGCATCAGACTTGATGTGGTTGGGGATCTCTCTCTCTCTCTCTCTCTCTCTCTCTCTCTCTCTCTCTCTCTCTCTCTCTCTCTCAAAAAAAAAACAAACCAAAACCAAACAAACAAGCCTGCCAGTTGTCTCAGACCTTGATGCGGTTGGTGCGCTTTCAATCCAACTGGAGATATTTTTGTATCGAATATTTCGGAAGTATTACATACCATTACATACACATATTTGTGTCTTAGTATTCCGTTACTTTTTCAAATGGACGTGCTTATTGATTTTTCAGTGTTAGTGTAATATATACTTAGTCAGCTTCCAAAGACACAAAATGAAGCGTAATGTGTCTGTGAATCGTTTTTATTTGTTATTCACATATTTATCGGGCTTTAAAATCGGGTTAAGTCAAGTCTGCTATATATTCCATTGTTTGTGTTGTTCTATAAAATGGGGGACACAAGTTTTGAATATGCTATTGCTCTTGTACTGATTGACCTATTTGCTTAATTTTTTTTTATTTACTGTCGTATTCATGCTGACATTCATGCATCAAGACTA